TTTCAATATATTAATTATTCCCCGGCACTTTCATGATTACATGATTTAGAAGAGATAAAATCATCTTTCGTTTGAGCAAAAAAAAAAAAAAAAAAAATGTCGCTATAAGACAATAACCCAATTTCTGAAAATAGACTACTTTCAATTTATTTTCTTTTTCGAACGCCCGGTCTGATTAGCCATACTACGCACGCTGATTCACTACAGTCACGGTCGTAGAGCGATGTTGCTTATTGTATATATGTTTGCTCGATTACCCATTATTGTATGGTGACTTCTCTTATTGTATGCCAGTTTGAAATGTATTTGAAGAAATGTTTTTCAAGATTTGTATTTGGAGATTTGTATTTGGAAATTTGTGGTTCGATATTTGATTTTCGTTGTATGTCTCTGATGAAATGTAAATGTAGGCTAATGTTTTAAAAAATAAATTTGATCTTTATATAATTAAAATTAAAATAAACAAAAATACAATTTACAAATCTTTTATGACAAATATCTGATTTGTAAAACAAATATTGATTTTAAGATGCAAATGTTAATTTTATAGTACAAATTTCGGAATACGACAACAAATGAAGAAATAAGAATTAAGGACTATGAATTAAGAACTAAGGATAAAGAGCTGTTTGGTCTCCCATAGATGACACGATAGTATACTTATTCTTATGTGAATTATTATACGTTTAATGCAATTTAGACATGACTTTTTTATTTTATTTTGTTTTAATTACCATATTTGGAGACGGATTAATATTAAGCGTTATAGCTTGTTTCCGAATCCATATAATTAATTTATTATGTATTGTATATTTTAAATGAATACAGTTTAAACCAACCGGAAAATAAAATCCATTTATCCATTTGTTATCGGTTGTCTTACAGTCAAAAAGTTATATTGTGAATTACAATTTAAATTTATTCGCAAGAAATATAAATAAAATGGTTACCGATTTAATATTAGTCAGCAAAAGAAAGTTTTCGTTAGTACAGTTTTGTCCCACGCAAAATGAATGACTTGTTAATTAGTCTGTATAGCCCCCAATTAGCAACGCATGTTAGTAGATAATTGAAAACACATTTAAACAATTAGATATCTGTCGTTTTCTATCAAAATCACATTTGAACATTTGTTAGCTATTGAACGGGTGGTGGCTTTTAATCTTATTAGTTACACTGATCAACGTCATGGATTATATTCCACAGCTTTATAGTGAAGTAATGGTAGAAAGAAAAGGTAGACTTGTAACATTATCTCGGTGATTGTATACTCGCATCACGGGTAACTCTCACCTAATTTCTATAAACGTATATTTAAGTATCTTTGAAGCCGCTCAATAAAATCAAAACATATTTGTGAAGAACAAGCCCTCGCTTTGAATTATACAATCGCAGAACTGTGGCAAATGCATTGTGTGTGGGATTGTAAGTAATACCTAAAGTATAATACAATATATCGGTATTCTATTTCGACAGGGAACGGAATTCATAAGATTCAATAATGATAAGATAAACCTCCTGTAAGGATACCTGGTTTCAATCCCTTGTGTAAATTAACCTTGGATTCTAACCCGACATTGATTGCCTTACTAGAAAATTGCTTTTCGACGTTTTTTTGTACAGTGATAATTCGGATTCACGTATAACTGTTATTAAATTGTTAAACAGTGCCAGCATAGAAAACCTGCTACAAGCATACTTAAAAGAGCTAATTCTTTAATATTTGGCACCTAGAAATTGACACAAATGGGTCACAACGCATATAATAATGTAATATGAATGCATATAAACTCATGTACAGTCAGCCGTTTCTGTTTTTACTGTAATATCTAATCAGTTATGTTAGGCGAAATACGCGAACAGTTCCAATTGAATGGCATTCTTTGGGGTTTGGTTATTCCAGTCTACATCGGTAGCATTTTCCCCAGGAATATGTTTAGCCTCGTTCATCGAGTCGCGTCGTTACAAATGGCGCTCAAAAGCATTCGTGTGCCAGTTTTAAAATGTTCACCGTGTCTTAAATATTGAATATCAGAAGACCATCTTTTCACGGTAAGATAACAACATCAATGTGGATTTAAACTGACCAATAAGTCGTGTTTGCAAAGTCCAAACAAATATATTAACCTGTTTGAACGAGTAGGTAACTCGTTTGAACGAATTAGTATCTCGTTTGAACGAATTAATTATCTCGTTTGAACAAATTAATTATCTCGTTTGAACGAGTTAGTATCTCGTTTGAACGAATTAATTATCTCGTTTGAATGAGTTAGTATCTCGTTTGAACGAATTAATTATCTCGTTTGAACGAATTAATTATCTCGTTTGAACGGTTTACTATCTCGTTTGAACGAATTGGTATCTCGTTTGAACGAATTGATTATCCCGTTTGAACGAGTTAGTATATCTCGTTTGAACAAATTAATTATCTCGTTTGAACGAATTAAGATTTCGATTGTACAGAGGCCTTCCCCTCTTGGTTCATCTTGAGCCATCGTTCCCCTCTGCGGCTCTTGGTTTCACGTCCACTGTTCTCTCGAGCAAGCCGACCAACAGCAGCGTCACTTTGCCACACGGGACCCAAGTGGGAGGGATGTGACGTACAATGTGGGCAATGTTTCGGCATAATTACTACGCTTGTTTCGTTTTGCATACTGCTACTGCATTCTAGGGTTTTTTTTTCGTGTCATCCACAGTTTTTTGTGTCATACGAGGACTACAGATTTTTCTAGCAAGACTCGCGCCATTAAAGTAGACGTCGCAAATTAGTTGTTTCTCCTACCCTCCTATATCTTAGAAACTCACCCAAATCCTCTTCCATCCGTTGTATTGCAACGCAATCAACACTAGGAATACATTTACTCTGGGATAACCCTTTACTACAAAGTTCATTTAATATGTAAACCCCGTTGACAAACAATCGTAATTCTGTTCACTGAGGTAGCGAAAATTCAGCTAAGGCACAATTATTTCTTAATTGGGTGCGTTTCAAATCTACATCTTTACAATATTAAAGATATATTATGTAAGATTTAGATAAAGAGTTGGTCGTTTTTGCTATAATAGTTGAAAAATAGATAATGCAAAATAAATATATTGAAATTACTTTAATGTGAGCGACGATATCAGCCTTTGAAGGTTTGACAAGATGTGTGCACTGAATGTAAACATCGTACTGGTTGTTCGAGGCTTAGCCCCACTTTACCATTTTTGAATTAAATCATTAAATGGTTGAACCGTTCTAATCTACTTAAATATGTTAATAAATGCCTAATGAATAGTTTATATAACATTTAAGGCCTAAAGAAAGACCTACAATAGGCATATTTAGCTCTTGCATAATGCCTGTTTGAGCATATACATGTCATAAAACAATGACTTCACTACGATGTTGTGGCTAATTCAGGCTAACATTAAACATATTCGGCTTTTAAAATGTGGATAACTTCCAACATATTTATTCTATACTAATTTTCATTCGCATAAATGTACACGTAGTTCCTTCTACTGACGGTAATGCTAGAAATAGTAAAGAACTTGCGTATTAAATGACATTATCTTTACTTAAAACACAATTTCTGGATGTCCCTCTCACGCTTCTGTACAATCGAGATACTAACTCGTTTAAACGAGATAATTAATTCGTTCAAACGAGATACTAATTCAAATTAAAATTCGTTCAAACGAGATAATTAATTCGTTCAAACGAGATACTAATTCGCTCAAACAAGATACTAATTCGTTCAAACGAGATAATTAATTCGTTCAAACGAGATACCAATTCGTTCAAACGAGATACCAATTCGTTCAAACGAGATACTAACTCGTTCAAACGAATTAATATTTGTTTTTGTTTGGCACTAATGGGCCTTCGTACTAAAGGACCAGAGATGCAACGTTTATAAGCGAAACTGGTTTCAACATTTAAAATTCAAGGATCTAGAAATGTATTTTATGGTAATGAGATACTCTAACGGAAACAGGTTCATGTGTTCGCCTTAAATGGCATACATTACTATTGTTAGATTGTTATTGATTATTAGAAAGATCGTGTACGCGCGTCCAGAAATGGACTAGTTTGTGTTGGTGTACACACCCCGCCTTCTCTTCTGTCTCATTTAAATAGAAATTGGGACATCTATGCATTGCACATTTCAGCTGTTGAATTAGAGCATCTTTAAATCTATAGATAACAATCAATTCAAAACCCGGAGTTGATATCACAACCAAAGGAAATGGAATGGAGGGTTATGGCAATATTTACATTCTTGAGAACGGAAACAGTTCTAGAATAATTCAGCTTTCGGCGTAAAAGAAAATTTATGTGTTATCGGTTTCTATTATCCTACAAATGTGTCGGTATTCCCTTTCCTGTATTAAATTATGATAATAAAACATCAGCTTTTACGCTTCTTATATAAAGCCTTGGGTATTTAATCGAAGTCCATGCATCAAGCTAATGGAATGATATGTAGACAAGTATAATGCAAATGAACAAGAATTCTAATGTAATAAGGCCATTTTGTGTATTATGTTATGATGTTGTTGAAGTCACCAAGACTATATCATAAGAATGGAGTTTTGTTTTTTCTTTCTACAAGCGTTTATGATGTAGATGACGATAATCGAAACTAACATTTTGCACTCAGGAACATTTTATTTGAAAACAGCTCTATAATTTTCTATTTATTACGCAACATTGTTTGAAAGTTTACCAACTGGATAGATAATTCTGAATTAATATTGGTGTATTGATAGATATTGTTTTAAGCTATCGATTAAAATTCAAAGATCCAAATGTTTCAATTACTGGCATTTAATTTTAATGTCTGGTATTTCCTTTGCATTTTCATTACTTTTTTAAGACACAGGCGATGGATATTATACATAAAACACTAAAAATTGCATTTGCTTTCTAATCTATTTATCTTTTGTGCATGATTCATTGTACGTGATTAAATAAAACTATACTTATTTTCTTTCAGGTGGGCGAGAAAGCATTTTGGAACTAGAGAAAGATGGCTTTAAGACTCCGGCAATCCTGTTTGTAACAGAAAGTATAAGTAGCGGGATGTTGTCTCTTTATTCAATTTTAGCAGTGCCTTTCGTAATGGCTGTGATTGGGTCCATCATCCTAAGCCTTGTGATGTGCATTCATGATTTTTTCAAAACACGCAACTACCTCCCTAAACTTCACTTTCGGGAATCAACGTTGACTTGTCATCTTTTGAAAAAGTGTAATTTGCAAGCTCGACCATTTGCACCACCTTTCTGGTTGCGGAATGCTCACGTTCAGACGATTCTCGCAGCTATTATGCCTAAAACGGAAGTGAACTTTGATCGCGAGTACTTGCAAATGCGAGATAAAGGAATTGTGGCATTGGATTGGGTTGTTAGTGTGCAACCTAAGATCAAAAAGAAAAGCACCATCTTATTAATTATACCAGGAATTACCGCAGATGCTTTAAGCGTTGGTGCTCTTTGTCATTGTGCTAATCAAAAAGGACTAAAAACCGTCGTGTTCAACAGACGAGGCCACGGGGGCAGTGTATTAACGACTCCTAAATTGCAAAGCCCTGGCGATCCAGCTGACTTAAGACAAGTTGTGAAATATATAAAACTGAAATATCTAAAGGCAAAAATAGCCGCCGTAGCCTACGGCACTGGTTGTGGATTATTAATATCATATCTGGGGGAGTTCGGCTCTTCCTCTTTAGTGGCTGTTGGCGTATGTATTTCGCCGTGTTACGATGTGTCTGAACGTTTCGCCAACTCGATGTATAGTATTTATGATTACGTTTTCTTATTTAGATTAAAAGCAATATTGTGTAATCACTCCAAGGCATTATCAAGTGTGATTGACATGAAAATAGCAATGCAATCCTCGTCCTTTCAGGAATATGACGCTTCTGTGTATTGCAAGTTATATGGCTATGACAATATGGAGGAATATTGGGATAGAAACAACCCTATTCGTGACGTAGACGATATATCAGTACCTGTTTTGTGTATAAACAGTTTAGATGACCCGTTTAACTCTGAAAGTGACATTCCCTATGAACTGTTTAAATATTATCCTAATTTTCTATTGGTTGCAACTGAGCGTGGCGGCCATTGTGGATTTTTAGAAGGATTGCCGCCTAGCTCATGGGCTGATAAATTGTGCTTGGACTATATCGACGCTGTTCTAGAATTCACTATCAAAGGATATACTCACAATAATAGGGGGGCTGTAAGATCAACTATTTAAAAGAAACACGAGTTTCTTTAATTTTTTAAAACGAAAACATATATTTCGATTACAATTTACATACTTTTCACATACTTTTAACCTGATCGTATTGATTTGAAATTTGTCCGAATATAATATTTAATGTTTATTGTATTTTATATTTCTGTGTTCAATATTGATACGATGAAGGTCATGGTAAAACTCTGGGACGTTTTTTGTCGCGTCTTGTTTAGGCTGCATGTAAAAACAATTTCTGTTAATTTAAAAATTGGTGTCTCAGATTTTTGGGGGGTATACCACCTAATTATTTCATTATGCATATCTTAATGCAAAGCAATCTACCCCACCCCACCCCATTTCCAAGACTGATAAAGTGGACTATTACGACACAAAAAGACCTTTAGTCACAACACTGTTTACTAGACACCAGGTATTTGAATTAGTTTGAAACAGCGTCTTAGAGCTCCATATTGTTGAATGTCAAATCCGAAAATTAGTAAGTTTTATGCAATGAAAATTAGCTCAAAAGTGTACCAAATGAAAATCGTACAGCAGTGTATCGTACATCTTCAGGTATTACAAAAACACTCTGACAGACATGTCTAGTGGTGGGGTACCCCTGACAGAGCTATGTAATTGCCAGACATTTGTAGTGATGGAGTATCCCTGACAAGAGTTATCTAATATTTAGACCAAAGCTAGGCTAGATTAGCTGAAATCTGTACCACCTAAAACAGCTTTGGAGTTGTTCAGTACCACCATAGGAGTCATGAATGACGAAAGCTAGACAGTTTGTGCAGTGGGTTACCCCTAACTCTACTTTCACTGCAGATGTATGGTGTACCACTAGTGGCATAGTGAACAGCAATATTGCCCCTATGATATGAGGTACACAAAGCTATGAATGTGACTGCATTTAACATAGTGTGCTACATTGTACAAATAGCCTTCATATTCCAGGGCCCTGTTTCACATAAACTTAAATCTCCTTAAAATCGTCTTAAACTAAAATTCCATCCTAACTTAAGTTAAGAGTCCCGTCGCCTGTTAACGACAGTGGCGGTAGCGGGCACTGAACAGCAACTTGTTCAGTTACCTCTGGACGACACCTGGTCGTAGCCGACCTAACGAGAAGATGCACTCCGGGTCACTGGCGAACCGCGGGTCGACCATCGACAATCTGTCGTGCCCGTCACTGGCTGTCGTAGCCGACTTAACGAGAAGATGCACTCCGGGTCACTGGCCGACCCGCGGGTCGACCATCGACAATCTGTCGTGCCCGTCACTGACCGACGGCAGATGCCGCCTGTGTCACAGGCCATCACTCGATCGCGTGTCGGCCTCCGAAACTTCCTCCATGTCACTGGTCGACGTCACAGTCCTCTGCCGTCGCAGGCCATCTCTCGACCGCGGGTCAGCCACCGGCACTTTCCCCAGCCTGTCTTTGGACGACGGCAGATTTCCCCTGTCTGTTGACGTTGACGACGACAATGCAGTCTCTCTCGTCCCTGCGACGAAAGCGCAATCCCAGAACCGATATCCGTTGACGGCATTAATGCTCTCGCCCGCAGCCGCGACCCCAGACGTATTTTGTCTGCGCTCGGGCCTCGTGGTCTCTCTCTCTCTCTCTCTCTCTCTCTTTCTCCCGCCCCGTGCGCAGAGATCTACCCGTCTTTTGCGGGTAAATCTCTTGCGGCGTTGCCAGGGGCGGGCGAAACCGAGAGCTCAGTCCGTCTACCGCGGACAAATATCCTAGTCGAGGGACAAGTCTCAGCGCCTCGCAGCCACAGCAGGCCGCTCGACCGAGTACGACACTCCGACTCGCACAAACCCAAGTCGTCTGCAAGCAGATTTACCTGTCTTCGAAAGACACCTGCCGAAACACACAGGTCGGACACACACCACCCTGTTCGCCCCGGGAGGGCGAAGCGGGGCCTAATCGTTCCGTTTCCGGTTAACAAGAGGTAGACGCGGACGTCGTGGGATGGGATTCCGGCTTAGAGGCGTTCAGCCGTAAGCCCGGGGACAAAGGCACAGCGCCAATAGCACTCACCACCAAGCACCAACGCTTTCAATCCCGGACCAACGTTCCTACCCGCTCATACCCGCTCGTATGATTCCCTAGCAGTAGGGTAAAACCCAGCTCACGTTCCCTGTTGGTAGGTGACCAATCCAACACTTGGCGAATTCTGCTTCGCAATGATAGGAAGAGCCGACAAAGAAGGATCAAAAAGCAACGTCGCTAAGAACGCTTGGCTGCCACAAGCCAATTATCCCTGTGGTAATTTTTCTGACACCTCTTGCGGGAAGCAGTAATATTGGGCTCTCCCATCGTCGCCCGGGGGGCGACACAAAAGGATCGATAGGCCGTGCTTTCACATGGATACCTCCTACTGAAAGGCATCCTCAAGCCAGCATTTGCCCTTTCGCTCGACCAAGGGTTTCTGTCCCTTGTGAGACTGGCCTTGAGGCGTCCGCGCTATCGTTTCGCGGGCACACCGCCCCAGTTAAGCTCAAAAATGAATCTGTCCTCGAACACCCTCGCGAGGTAAAGGAATTCCTCGCTTAGCCCCTTGAGCTCGCCGACGCCGCCCCTGCGATTATCACCGAGTGAGTCGAACGAGGAACGCAGTAGTGTTCTTTCACTTGCGCCACAGGGCAGTCCCACCTAGGCTACATCTGCGCTCTCGCCCGACAAAGCCAATCGTGAGCCAAACTCAACAGGGTATTTCAGTTTTCAAAAGAAGTGATCAAAAAGGCTCAATTTTGAGCTTGCGCCCCCTCGCCCCCAGGCCTGCCCCTAGGATGCCCCTTGGTCGAAATCTGTTGCTCCTAAGACCTTCCCGTACCCGTGCACCTCTAAAAACGATGTTTTGACCCCCCCTGGGTCTTCTGAGGGGTGACCCGCCCTTTATGGCAGGCACAATTCTGAGCTTCCTCTTTTGACTTGACTGGAAGAGGCTCAGAATTGTGGAGAGGCCTTTATCTGGCGCCCCAGGCCTTTCAATGGCCGTCAATAGGTCTTTGCTCACAATTGTGCCTTACAGATGTTGCCCAATTTCCGTTTTTCGCGCTTTGGTGTGCCGTAGGGTGGCGGGTACGAGTATGAGTGGGTAAGGCCCTGCCCTCGGGTGGTCTGGTATCCATTCAGGGGGTCAGCCCCAGAAAAAAAAAAAAATTGCCACGCCCCTTTCTGGACATGTCCTAAAATTTGATTTTTTTTTTTTTTACTGAAGGTCGGAAAATTTGGATTGGGTATGGGTGGGGTGGGGCTTTGGTCCACCCCCCGTAGGTGGAGGGTGGTTGCGTGCCCCAAGTCGGTCGTTGATGCGCGCAAATTTGATTTTTTACTCAACCTGATGTGCGCGGACAAGATAAATTGCCTAATTTAACCTTGGAGTTGACTTTTTTCACACAAATATAATTAATTGAGATGAGTTTTTAAAGATACGCCTGTCGCCTCGCCAAAATATATTAATAAAGTGGAAAATATTCCCAGTTTACACGCAAAACAGCGAAAACGCAAGTGTCAGCGGTCTGATTCCCGTTGTATGGAGTTACCTCCCTTGAACCAGTTGAAGTGATTTTTTTGTAATTCTATCTATTAAATAGAATATATAGAAAATGGGAATGTTTTTCATTCCAAATTTGGTTCTTCATATGGGAATCAATATTGATTAATAACCATGGTTATTAAATACTTTCTAATAGAATATGAGAATGTTTTTCATTCCAAATATTGTAGTCCTGAAAAGGACTGTTTGAAATACCCAATTTGGGGTGTTCTTCATCCGAAGAGGGCAGCTTTACATCTGTCAAACTTGTTACTCGTAAAACCTTTTGGCAAACAGCCATAGAGTTTCTCGCCAATGAGCTCGATGATCCACCCCATGTAGACACAGAGTTTCGCCATCTCAGCTCCATTCAGATGTACCCCATCCCTTTTCAGACTTTCGGTAAAATATTCTTCCGGGTCCCGTTCTCTGTAGAAGCAGGTTAACCCATAAAATAAGTATCTATGTCCAGTCAACATCCTTTTCATCTTCTTGTTCAATTTTTTCGTACTTCGTCGATACGTTTTCCAGTCTCCGTATCTTGGGGTTTGTCGCGGGTAACAGTTGATCCAGACTTCCGGTATTCTGTATCGACCATGGAGATCTAGCAGGATGCTCATAAGTTGATCGGCAATCAACTGGACGTCGAGCGACGGACGTATGTCGTTTCCCCCCAAAACAACGAATAATATCTCCACGTTCCGGGAAATATTGAAATCGGACGACCTGTACCTTTCGGCTGTATGACCCGACTTTCCATAAAAAAATAGTTGGTGGGCTCATGACCATGGGACCCTCGCTCAGACAACTTTGGCTGCCCTCCGCTAGCCGCTAGCCCAGGCAGCGGCGCCCTGTCGCCATGCAGGGAAAAGCTCGTCAGCGCGCTAGCCAGCGCTCCTGGCGGGTAAGAGCGGGGGAGATAGCCTGCTCGTATCTCTCGAGGAAATGTCGCCCCACCTAGCCCTCGATTTATCCTGTTCAAAAGGTGTGTGTGTGTGGCGTGCGCTCAACGACCACAAAAAACTTTGCTCGTTAGGGAAAGGCTGCCAGCAGGCTACATCGACACACTGCCTTCGCGGTCCGATGAAAGACGAGAAAATTACTTGAACATCTCTGCCTGTCTTGTGCAAACAGATCTGCTGTATTCTCTGCCTTTCCTTCGTTTCTCTCAGACAGGGAACCTCTGGCTAGCGCTGTCTTCGCCGGGCGAATGATCAATGTTCGGTAGAAGTTAATTATCGTACTCGGGGAACCGAGTGGCTAAAAAGTTTCGGCTCATTAACATATTATCCGATTAGGGGGGTTGACCTGCATGCAATTTCGAGCCGATCCCGGCCGCTGTTAGCCGTCTCTTCGCGCGGGGCAGATGGGGAGTATATTTTCCCGTCCGAAGCGCCCCTCGACCTTCGTGTAGCGTCTCTGGGTTGCGATTTTAGCGGCGTTGCCCTAATTATTCTCTCCCTTGGCCAGATTCTCTCCCTTAAATCTTCTTAAA